GCTCTATTTGCAAATCTCATGCACTCTTTTTGCAAAACTCTAAACACATTCTCACTCACAGTTTTTTTTTTTTTTTCAACTGCTTACACACATTTTTTAACTTTACCTCCTTTTTCAAAACTTAACACACAAATCCAAGAATTGCACACACAAAATGCCTCACATCTCTTGCAAAATGACACACTGCATTCAAAAGATCACAAACACATCTCAAAGGCAAACATCTGTCTTACGTTGCAAACACTTTTGCCATAATATATTTTTGGATATGTCATACACACAGTAATTCAAAACCAAAATCTCCTCTTTCATGAGCTCCAATGGACATATCTGTACAAGATCGAAAGTAATTGTCAGAGATTTTTAAAAATTCACAGTAAACACGAAAGCAAGATTGAAACCAAACTCTTTATTTTTTTTTTTACTGTAAGCATTTGTGGTTGTGAATACAGTACTAGAGAAAAGAAAAAAAAAATACAACAATATGTAGTTGGACAGAATCCAAACATAATTTTGAAAACAGATTATTATTCCAAAGGAATTGTGTGTGTGTGTGATGGTTGGGTGCATCTAGGCTCAATCCCTCCTCCGGGCTGGGTCCGGCCACAATACTTCATCCACATCACATGCCATGTTCTCTCTTGCCAGACACCGTGGAAAGAACCTCCTTGTATGGCGTATCCAAGCTTGGAATGGAGGGGGCATCAAGGTCTCCACATGCCTCCTCCATTGCCTGGAGAAGCGTCATGTTGACATAGGGATGATGATCATACACTTTCCAGCGCCATGTGGAAAAATATTCCTCAATAGGGTTTAGAAATGGTGAATATGGAGGCAGGTAAACAACAGAAAAATGGGGATGAGTAATAAACCAGTTTTGGACCTGATGGGCACGATGAAAGCTGACATTATCCCAGATGATGACAAATCTTGCCTGGTCTTCATTCTGCAGACCTTGAACAAGCATATCATGAACAGCATCCAGAAAACGTATGATGTGATCAGTGTTATAGGGGCCAAGTCTGGCATGATGGTGCAGGACACCATTCTGTGTAATTGTAGCACACATTGTAATGTTTCCGCCACGTTGTCCAGGGATATTGACAATGGCTCTTCGTCCAATGACATTTCTCCCCCTTCTTCTGGTTTTGCTGAGATTGAAGCCCACCTCATTAACATAAATGTATTCATGGATGATAGCATGGGCATCCATCTCCAAAATTCTCTGTAAAAGACAAAATAACATGTAGATCAGTATATGCACAACCCAATAGCTTGACTTGGTAGTCAAGTCTGATATATGGGAATAAGTGTTGTATGCATACCTCCACAAAGTCATGTCGAAGGTTCTTGACTCTGTCACAGTTCCTTTCAAATGGGACCTTATACAGCTGTTTCATTCTCAGTTGATTTCTCTGGAGGACACGATGTATTGTTGAGGGGCTCACAGCATTTGTTAGCAAAAATTGTGGAATCATTAAGGATATGATTGCATATTCCACGAATTCTCATAGCATTATTGGTCAAAACCAAATTCACGATAGCCGTCTCTTGCTCTTCAGTGAACTTGTGACCTCGCCCACCATGAAACCTTCTCCTTGCTACTCTGTAGAAGATTCAAGAATAGTGTGAGTGTGTGCCATAAACTGTAACATAATACAAACTATTTTATACAATATAGTCAGAATGTCTTCTTACATTGAGCTGTACAGTATGATAACCCACCAGACTGACCAATTGTGCAGTGCACTACAGTAAATGGATGCTAAAATATATGTATTATAGAATTGACAATAAAGCAGACTTGACTTGACTTGACTTGACATTGAGCTGTACTGTTGTACAGTATGATAACCAGACTGTGACCAATTGTGCAGTGCACTACAGTAAATGGATGCATGGGTGCTAAAATATATGTATTATAGTATACCGTATGTTTAGCTAAAATAGCTATTATGTGTACATTAGAACATGTACATTACAGTAAATTGTTACATACCTGTTATCATTTCTAAAGGTTCGAATTACACCCGCCACTGTAAATCGACTCAAATTAGGCTGGACTCTCTGTCCAGCCTCTCTCATTGTTAGACCATGGTTGATCACATGATCAATGATAGTATCAGAAATTGTGTGACAAGTAAAGATTTGGTGTGTAAGCGGTTGAAAAAAACTGTAAACACATTTCTTGAAATTGTGACTCCTTTTCTCGAAACTCTAAACACAAATCCATAACTTCTCACCCAATTCCCCATACTTCATATTTTCAGGTCAAAATTAAGCTCTCCACTCAAAACTATTCAATCTTGCTGAAAAAAACAAACTTTGCCCTCAGACATGACACACAAGCCCTCAGAAACACACACACAACAACTTAGTCTTACACACTAATGCGATCAATTCATAACACTGTTGCAAAAACCTTCTTTTGGCAACCAGGTATCGTTTTACAGCTCAGTGTCTATTACAGTATACAACATAATTTGAGCAGATACATGTTACAGTAAATATAGCAGATACAGTGAAATTCAACAATAAGCTTTACATATTGTTTTCATTACACTGCTGTAAAGAGATCTTACAGTACAGTAGATGAAAAGCACTAGAAAGGAAAAGGTCAAATACCAAAGAATTGCATATGAACACATTCGCCCTCAGACATGACACACAAGCCCTCAGAAACACACACACAACAACATCTTACACACTAATGAGATCAATTTATCACACTGTTGCAAAAACCTTCTTTTGCCAATCAGGTATCATTTTACAGCTCAATATCTCTTACAGTATACAACATAATTAGAGCACATACATGTTACAGTAAATACAGTAGATACAGTGAAATTCAACTATAAGCTTTACAGTAAGAACATATTATTTTCATTACACTGCAGTAAAGAGATCTTACAGTACATTAGATGAAAAGCACTAGAAAGGAAAAGGTCAAATAACAGAATTGCATATGAACACACAACAGAATATAGAGTCATCACTCAGTTCTGCAAAAATACAGTACATGTAAGAAGTACCTGGCTACAAATCAGTTCAGCAGTTACAGTATGAGTTTGAGGGTGTACAACTTGTGCGTCAGTATTTACTATACATATATATAAAAAGTAAAAGTTCTCTCATCTGAAGTACTGCTACTGTTCTGTCATTATATTTTATCTGCAAGTAGTATTGAAAGCCTGTAAGTGAGCCTGTTGGCCAGCTGTCCTCATGCACAAGAACATGATCAACTACAGCGCTGTGTATTTCATCAGGAATAAATGTCCTTTGACCCTGTCCCCTTCAGTTTTCTTTTCCCCTCATCTTCCTCTTTGTCTCCCAGTAGTAGGATTCATTTTCCAAATCACATAATCAGCTGTGCTCTTGTTCATATCATCCTGAGATTCTGACTGCTGTGTCATTAGTTTTGCTACTTAATGTTCACACATGGATAAATGTGTGCTGTTTGAGTTTATATTGTGATTCTTGAGGTAGTTATATTGTGTGTTTGTGTTTTCTAAATGAGAACATGGTTAAACCTGTGCAAAATGATGCCTTTCTTGTGTAGAGTTTCTCAGAAAACACTGAGCAAATTGGAGCGTGTGTGAAAACAGCTGAAACGTGTTTAAAGTTTTGAGAAACATGTCTTTGTTTTAGGAACTGTATGAATGGTTTGGAAAATTGTGCCAAACGAATCAGTTATAGTGCGTTAGCAATCGAGAAAAACTGTAAATGGGGACATTCCATAGGCGTAATGGTTTTTATACTGTACAAACTGTATTTTCTATCACCCTACACCAACCCTACTCCTAAACCTACCCCTTACAGGAAACTTTGTGCATTTTTACTTTCTCAAAAAAACTCATTCTGTATGATTGAGGAATAGGAGGAGAAAAGAAAAATGAAGGGGATGAGGTCAAAGGTCATTTATTGCTAATGAAATATAAAGCATTATAGTTCAACATGTTCTTGCACATGGAATGAGCATAAGGAAAGCTGGCCTGCAGGCTCATCTACAGGGTTTTTACACTACTTACACATTACAGTTACAGTACATAGTAGCAGTTCTTCAGATGAGAGAATTTTCACTGTTCTTTGTACTGTAAATACTGTAGCACATACCCTCAAACTGCTAACTGTTGAATTGAGTTGTAGCCGAGTACTTCTTACATGTACTGTATTTGTGCAGAACTGAGAGTCGACTGTCTAGGGGAGACAGAGAAAGTATTTTTGTCAGAAGACTAAGAAACTGTTATAGTATAACAAATGAGGGTATTATAAGGATATATAAAATGATATTACCAATACTGTAATGCAACTTGGGAGAGGATGATGAATTTATTTATTTATGGTAACTGACAGTATATTCCAGTGTGTGTTTACTGTATATTCTGTTGTTTGGTTTTTGTAATTTTCTCTTCTAGTGCTTTTCATCTACTGTAAGATCTCTTTACAGTAGTGTAACGAAAGTAAACATTTCTTACAGCTTATTGCTGAATTTTACTGTATCTACACCCCTATACTTATGTCATATACTGTAACAGACATTGACTAGCAAAAGGATTCCAGTTTCCCAAAAGGAGGTTTTTGTAACGGTGTTTTGAATTGATCTCACTAGTGTTCTGTAGGCAGGAAAATAGTCTGTGTATTTGATAGGTTTGTGTATCATCTGAGGCCAAAGTTTGAGTCTGATGAAAGAGAACATGTTTTTGACTAAAATGATTGATTTTGACCTGGAAGTTTGAAGTTTGCACAAGTTTGTGGGTAGTTTTGAGATTGTGTTTATAGTTGTGAGAAAATGGTGAATTGTTTCATGAATTCAATCGAGAAAAACTGTAATTCAAATTATATGAAAATGTATTATGAATCAGAATCAGAAAGAGCTTCATTTCCAGAAAGAGCTTTATTATGGTATTAATTTATATTAATTATACAATTATCGGAACATTAGAGTGTATTGCCTGACCCACTTAAGTAGGACTTAAGAACATTTTTATTTGTAATTTCAGAATAAGTCTTCGAAATATGGTTAAAATGCAATTACAGTTGTAAAGATGAAGTTGCAGTTTAGTACATTTAAAAAGTTTTTTCAATAAATGTTATCAAAATAAGTGTACTTCTTTAAAGCAATACAAAATAATATTAAAAGAATGTGATTTAAAATGTACTTTAAAATAGGCTGTACTTTACAACTCAAAAAAATGTACCAAACCACCATGGGTTCTGACACGACAAGGAAGATTAATACAATTGGTAGGTTGTCAGCAAGCCTAAATAACAAAATCTGCAAATTTTCAATTTCATACAGAATTATTATTCTTTATTTATTTTTTGCTATAAATAAGCAGGTTTACTTTGGCTCTTTGCTAATGCACTCAGCTAATTCTCTTGGGAAAAGTCTTATTTAGTTTTACTGCAAATTGCTAAGCAAGAAATTACTGAAGACGAACATTACCCCAATTAGAATATTCAGAATGATTTAAACTGTGCTTTTTGCCATTTTAGCTACACTGCAGACTTTTTTACTGTTATAGCTTTTTGATTTACCGTCATAGCTCCTGTAATGAATTGCACAATTATACAAACAATCGAGCGAGCAGACAAACAGAAATCACACCAAATGCTCCTGCATATGTACTAGTTTAGATTAAAATCTAGATTTGCTTTTCTCAGCAGCACTATGTCTACATTAATGTGAATTATTGAGGTAATTATTAAGGTAAATGGCCATAACTACTTTGTTTCCCTGCTTCAGCAAAACTAACATTCAGTTTTCAAAGCAGTGAGGTGAGGAACATGTGATGGATTCTGTGTTCAAGCAATCACTGGTGGATTCACTGATGCTTTCAATTAATATTGACACTAATTGTTATTTTTAATGTTATTACAATCTATTTTTCTTAAGTAAGATGCTTGAACATACTGAAGGTAGTCATTTTTGTTTGCAGAGTGCTAAGAAGACGGCATGATCGAATATGTGTGTTTCCAGTTTATTGCTTTCATTAATGAACCCCTCTCATTTGAACCATTGCCCATAACTATTCATGAAAATACTGCAGGCATGGAAACCTAATCGTGAAGGACACAGCAATAACTGATTAGTTGAATGTGATTTTTTTAAAGGAATAACATGATCCTTGTGTCTGAAAATAATTAATTAAAATTAATAATTAGGTGAAACAAAGAGGAACTATCAAAACAGTGGCAAGCTGATGTCGAAAGATGAAAGTGAAGATGAAAGCCACATTGCTACTTTGGTCCACAACCAATATAGTGTCTGAAGCAAGATAATGCACAAACATTAAGATTAAGGATTATACAAGATGCACAAAAGCACTGCATTGGCTTGGGAAATCAAGTCTTAGGAACAGAAACTGAACTCAGGCATAGACTCAGAGGCTCAATACAGCACACTAATTTAATTTTCCCTGAAATTGCGCTTCACCACTCCATTAGGCCCTCAAAGCTGTTTAAAACTTCCTAACTCTTGGATGATAGAGAGAAATGTCCTTGGCATAATAAATCTTGTGTTCAGAAGAAATTAAATAAAATACTATTAAAATATTCAGTTTTTATCACATTTATTTTCATTTATATTGTAGATGTTTTGTGTTTAGTATCTGAATGCACAATATGGACAATATCCACAATTTCACCAAGATCTTCTCTCAGCAGATTGCATTATGCTGTCAACGGTAACAGGAATAACAACAATATCATTAAAAAGTAGCGCTGCGTTCTAATCCTAATCCGCTCAATAGTAATCAGTGAGGTGGAGCATGTTTGAGCTAAGGAGCTTGTCTTGAAGAAGGAGAGTACAAGAATTAAATGCAAGAAAACAGATTAGATTAGGATGTGATTTTTAATACTAAATCTGTGTCTTACACGTTATGAAAACTGAAGTCATCTCAAGATTTAAATTAAATAGTGATTTATCTTTTGCACATGCAAGTGTTTGTTTATTGGAACGAATGCAAAAATTATTTGATCAGACTAAAGATTTTCTCACTTAAACCCATGTGAATATTTTTCATCAAGACTGCTCGCCCAGAGGGGCATGGTAAGCAGCAATATCAGCCACGTAAACTTTCAAAGTGGAGGGGGATAACCCTGTGGCAAACCGATCTTGTAGAAATTCCAACACTGGGCCAACAGGGCAATTAACTGGGTCTAACTGACAGTTGTCACACCATGAAGTGGAAAGATGTCACTTAGCAGTATATGATTTCCTAGTGGAGGGAGCTCTGGACTGGAGTATGGTCTCCACTACCTCAGTAGAGAGACCGGAAGCTAAGAGTTGTGCCCCCTCAGGGGCCACACCCTCAGTTTCCACAACTCCGGATGGGGGTATAAGATGGTGCCCCCCGCCTGAGAGAAGAGACCCTGATGGACGGGAATCTTCCATGGAGAGTCTTCGAGTAGGGCTACCAGGTCTGCAAACCATGGCTGGCCCGGCCGGTACGGGGCTACTAATAGGAGATGAACCCCATCCCGGCGAACTCTCTCCAGAACTCACGGGAGCAGAGCAATCGGGGGGAAGGCATACAGATGAAGCCTCGGCCCCATCTGTAACATGGCATCCAGCCCAAGGTGTGTGTGTGAGGTGTGGGTGTGTGAGGGAGAACCACTGGGGACATTGTGAGGTCTCTCGAGACGCAAACAAGTCCACCTGGGCTTGCCCAAACTTCTTCCAAATCTGTTCCACCACCTCGGTGTGGAGCTTCCATTCGCCGGGCCTCAGCCCCTGCCTCGACAGGATGTCTGCTCCCTGATTGAGGTGCCCAGAGATGTACACTGCCCTCAGGGAGAGCAGTTTCCCCTGGGCCCACAGAAGGATCTGGCGTGCCAGCCTGTATAGGGGGCGTGAACGCAGACCCCCCTGCCGGTTGATGTAAGACACGGGGCCTTGTGACAGGAACCAAGGTTTCTTCCACAGGTCTAAGACCCGTAAGCCTAGCCGTGTGACCTTGATCATGCGAAATGGGTTGCCCCTCAGGGAAAACCCTTTGGTCCTGAGCCACCACTGCAAGGGTCTCATGTACAGCAGGCCAAAAAGTGTCACGTTGGACGCAGCTGCCATCAGACCCAACAGTCTCTGAAACTGTATGACAGTGAGTGACTGGCCTTCTCTCACTCTCTTGACTGCCGTGAGGATCGACTCGATCCGAGCAGGAGACAGACGTGCCTGCATCGTGGTCGAATCCCACACCACGCCTAGATAAGTGGTCCTCTGTACTGGAGAAAGAACACTTCTTTTAGTCTTTTGCGTTTAGTCTTAACCCCAACCGTTTCATGTGAGCAAGAACAACATCTCGATACCGAACCGCTATCTGCTCTGATTGAGCTAGTATCAACCAGTCGTTGATGTAATTCAGTATGTGGATGCCCTGGAGTTGCAGTGGAGCCAGAGCATCATCCACACACTTGGTAAACGTGCGGGGTGAGAGTGCAAGGCCGAACGGAAGAACCTGATATTGGTAAGATTTGCCCACCAAAAGCAAACCTCAGGAACTTCCTGTGTTGAGGAAGGATGGAAACATGGAAGCATGCGTCTTTCAGATCTATCGTGACAAACCAGTCCTCGGACCTGATTTGAGACACGACCTGTTTGAGCGTGATTATTCTGAACTTGAGTCGCATGACTGAGTGGTTCAACAGAAGCAGATCTAGAATTGGATGCAACCCCCCATCCTTCTTTGGAAAAATTAAGTACCGACTGTAAAACCCGGACTCTCTGTTGCGAGGAGGGACCACCTCGATGGCCTCCTTCCTCAAGAGAGTGTCCACTTCTTGTTCCATGACCAGAGCCTGCTTGAGACCCACCTGAGTGGGAAATACCCCATTGCATAGAGGTGGGCGAGACCCAAACTGAATCTTGTAACCTCTTTTTACAATGCACAGGACCCATCTCTCGAGACTGGCCTCTGGTGTACTTAGAATGGCCCTGAAGTGGAGGACTGGCAGGGAACGACCGATGTAGCTGCTCTAGAGACCTCCTTGGAGGTAGCGAGCCTCCCAGAACCGCTACATTTCTGGGCGGAAGCTGAGAGCTGCACTCGCTGGAGACCACTGTGCCCTGAAGCACCGGGGGTGGCAGGGTTAACAAGACGATCTCCTGAGGGCTCTGTGGAGAGACGGGCACCGTATTCTGAGGTGTGAACCGTTCTTCCCCAGAGGGGCCTGCCCTTAAAAGTCCTGACGTCCTCACGTCCTCAAGACTTCGACCTGGCGACGCTCCATTTCTGGACTTCTCCGTGAGAGGAGCTTGTACACGGCTGGAGCTGATCTCGCCTATCAGCCCCATGAGAGCGGCGAGGGAGAAATTGCTGGAACGCCTCCGCTTGTTTCTTGGTCTCCTGGAATCTGTCGACGACTGTATTTACAGTGTCGGCGAACAGTCCAGAAGGCACTAGCGGGCATCCAGGAGAAAGACCCTGTCCTTTTCTTTAATATTGGACAGGGTCAGCCACAGGTGTCTTTCGGGCTGCCATGGACCTCCCAATAGCTCTGGCGGTCTCCCTGGTGGCGCGAAGCGACAAATCTGTGGCCCGACGTAGCTCTGCCATATCGCCATTCTTAATCTCTTCTTCCTCATCCATCTCTTTTAGCAGGTCAGCCTGATATGCCGGCAACACCGACATGGTGTGCAGGCAAGCGCCAGCCTGACCCGCTGCTGTGTACGCTTTATCCACCAAAGCAGAAGAAGTCCTAAGCGGCTTGGTGGGTAACACCGGGGCCTTGAGGGACGATGCACCGCCGGGCAAGAGATAGCCAGCAAGTGTCTCTTCAACCCGGGGAATCATCCCATAACCGCGCTCTTTAAGTCCTACCACATTAGCATAGTGAGATACATTAGGACTAAAAAGGTGGGCCGAGAATGATTTATTCCACGATCTAGACACCTCGGTGTGCAGATCGGGAAAGAACGGCAGGCCCCGGCGTGGAGGTAGTGACTTAGAATACAGGAATCGTTCGTCGAGCTTGCTTTTAGGACCACCATCGTCCCGCACAAGATTCCTGCACTTCAGCCGGTCAGTCGATGTTTAACTTGGCCACAGCTCTAGTCACCACCTGCAACAGCTCCTCAAACAGGACAGACTGTGGTGGCAAGTCCACAGACTCATCTCTGTCAGTACCCTCCTCATCTTCCTCTTCGGAGGGAGACAAGTGGAGCACCGAGCCCTCTCCCGGGGCGGAAGACACTGTTTCAGAATGTGCTTCCGTTCCCTGAGAGAGAGCACTGGATCTGGCAGGTGAGAAAAGAGAAAGGGACCTGCCCATCTCTATTCCCTCTGCCACATCCTTTTGCGAACCCCATGATCTGAGTCGCCACTCTGCCTCGGCAAATGCGGGACCCGAACCGCGAGGAACGCGAGAGAGAGCACCCTCCTCAAAGAGCGCTCTCCTGGAGCGGAGCGTCCGCATTGTGAGGCGAACACAATGCGGACAGTCAGCTCCCTCGAGAGCTGACCGAGCGTGCTCCGCTCCCAGACAAGCAACATACTCGTGGCCACAAGAAAAATATTTAATTCCCTCAACATAAGAAGTCGTGGCCACGAGAAATTATGTTTTATTAACAATGTTTGGGAGGAGCATGTTCAGATAATTAACCCGGCCAACTCATCATCAGCAATTACACCATCTATCCTATCAGCTCGAGAGAGAACTTCTATAAATAGCCCAAGCCATCTTACCTTCATTCTCTCTGCAGTATTTCAGCATTCGGTTCGCTCCTTTTGCCTTTTTATCACAGACCCAATTTTTCCCCGTCCAATGATGAGACCGATACTGGGGATTTTTCAGATCCTTCGCCGCAATTTGCCGGCCCCACAATCACTCCTTCTCCGCCAGACATGGCCGCCGAGCACCAGGCTTCATCGCTGCCACCGGTCGTATAAAGCGATGCTCTACCAACTGAGCTATACGAAACCCGAATTATGGCGCAGATAAAAGAGTACAAAGCATTAATATGAAAGTGTCCTGTTGCCGATAGGGGCGCAATTGTAGTATACGCTCTGATGGGTCATATTTCAGGGATTTGGACAAACGACCTATTTTCAATAGAGTTTGGGTGTCACCCAGTGGTTGTTTTTGGTATAGTGCCCAAAGAAAATCTTGTATTGGTTGGAGGACATGTTGCCTTGACAAAACACATATCGTTGGAAAGGTCTGACAGTCAAGATTCCATATTTGGTGACTGTTTTTTAATAGAAGCCATATTGTGACAGAAAATGATTGATTTGTGATAGAAACGGGGAAGTCGTGGCCTAATGGTTAGAGAGTTGGACTCGTAACCCAAAGGTTGCTAGTTCGAGTCACAATCCGGCAGGGATTGTAGGTGGAGGGAGTGAATGTACAGCAGCATAAATGGCTGCCCACTGCTCTGGGTGTGTGTTCACGGTGTGTGTGTGTGTTCACTGCTGTGTGTGTGCACTTGCGAACCCCATGATCTGAGTCGCCACTCTGCCTCGGCAAATGCGGGACCCGAACCGCGAGGAACGCGAGAGAGAGCACCCTCCTCAAAGAGCGCTCTCCTGGAGCGGAGCGTCCGCATTGTGAGGCGAACACAATGCGGACAGTCAGCTCCCTCGAGAGCTGACCGAGCGTGCTCCGCTCCCAGACAAGCAACATACTCGTGGCCACAAGAAAAATATTTAATTCCCTCAACATAAGAAGTCGTGGCCACGAGAAATTATGTTTTATTAACAATGTTTGGGAGGAGCATGTTCAGATAATTAACCCGGCCAACTCATCATCAGCAATTACACCATCTATCCTATCAGCTCGAGAGAGAGAACTTCTATAAATAGCCCAAGCCATTTTACCTTCATTCTGTCTACAGTATTTCAGCATTCGGTTCGCTCCTTTGCCTTTTATCACAGACCCAATTTTTCCCGTCCAACGACGAGACAGATACTGAGGATTTTTCAGATCCTTCACCGCAATTTGCCGGCCCCAAGATCACTCCTTCTCCGCCGAGCACCAGGCTTCATCGCGGCCGCTGCTCTCCTCGACCAGCCACACGCTCTCCACGACGCCAAGGCTTAACCTTGCCGCCACTGGCGAGACTTCCAACTTCCCCGGCATCCTTGTATCATTCGACCGTACCAGCAACTCCACCGATCGGAAAGTGGACAGTATTTAAGCCCGAGGCAAACGCTGATTAATTCCAACGCACCGTTCTTGCGGAGGGTAAACAAGCAGATCTGTACGAGCTATTCGTCACTCTGCAAATTAGCCAACCTCACTGCTAAATCCACTCCAGCCGGCCAAGACTGCCAATAGACCGTGCAAAGCCCCCAGCTCGCCTCGCTTGACACCACCATCGTCCCGCACAATCCTGGAACCAAAAATCAAATAGTTGACACTCTCTCCCATTCTGCTTTCCAGGAATTCAGGCTGCTGGCACCGATATTCCCGTAAGCCATAATATAT